GTTAAAGGCCTCCACTGCATGGCAGCGTCGACCGAGGTTTGTCTTTTGTCTCGGTTTCCGGCGAAGCGAAGGGAGACTCCTCTTGCCCTTTTCACTTGTGCATGAGTTGATGGTTTTAAAATATATAGCATTCCTACAGCATTTTAATTAACATTCCTCCCCTATCACGAACTGTGGCGTATTCCCTCGATGTGAAAAGAAAGAATACTGGATTGTTGGAAGGTGGAAGAGAAATAATAAAAAAAAAAGAACAGAAATGAATGCGTTGCAGGAATTGCAGATAGGAAAATGAGGCTGCGACAAGGATACTGAGAAATGACACATAAAGATATATGGCAATAACCAAGGTTCAAAAAACGGCGAAAATGAGTGTCTTCCTTTCTTTAATAGGGCAGCGATGCAACCTGACGCTTGTGATACTTTTCGGTTTTCATTTTTCTCTCTTTCTCATGAAAGCAATTTTAGAAACAATTTCTAGGAAGTAAGTGAATTGCTCAACAACGGAAAATGCCACTTAGAACGATTTTTCGCTGGAATTCATGGAGGCAGAACCCGCGACTGCGGGGGTTTTGAGTAGGGGTTATTCGCCAACAAATGGAACGCTATGTCGTCTCTCGTTCCTTCGCGAACGGAAAAGACAGAAAAAAATTGTTTAGAACATCCCAAGCAAGGACTCATACCAGCCTCAGTGAATGAGTTTTCCGGACCTGCTCGTTCTATGCCAGCAAAGCTGAATTCTGCTGCACCTGACTCATTAATCGTTTTTCGCAGTCGACCAGGTCAATTGCCGTCCAACAGCCAAAACGCGTCATCCAGGGCAATGCCGTGCAACAGCGAAAAAAAACGAAGAGCCCGGGTGGAAACTGAACTCGTGACAGTTGAGTTGTGGTGGGCGGGACAACTAGGGAGGCGTCAGAACTGCCACCTATAAGGCCACAGCGCTTTCACTACCTACTGTGGAGCCGCGAAAGTGGGACAGTCTCAAAGACTGACTGCGAGACAGCTTGAAGAAAGGAGGACGCCTAGGAAATACTTGAAGGGATTGTTTTCAAGTAGCGTTCACTGTTTCTTCACAGCACTGAGAAATGATTGGGAGTACTGCTCCAAAGCTAATCTGGCCAAGACTGAAGGAGTGAGAGCTGAACCTATCGAACTGAAGACTTAAATACAAATTGAGGCTAGAAGATTATTTCAAGAAGACCAAAAATCCGAAAGATCTAGAGAGATTTCCGAAAAAATTCTCATATTGCTGTGCATGTGCCCCCTTCAGAAACCGGAATATTTACTAGCAATTATTCAACTGAGATTGAAGATCGCTGACTTCAAGTGGCTTCGAGGCAAAGTTAACGACTGTCCACACAAAAACCACTGGTCCTGCCCTGAACAGCAGTGCCATCCAGCTGTATGACTGTGATGAATGAGTACCACATATCTCTCGCAGAACAAAAACTCTGCCTTGGAGATGAGTCAGCATCGGCAAGCTGTTGGATAAGCGGGATTATCCTGCGTGGAAACCCAATCCACGGCGCATCCAGTTTATAGAACTTCAACCTACCCTGAGTATTGTGAAGCGTGATGAGAAATGAATCATGTACGACAAAGGATAACGATCTGGGCAGCGGCTGGACAATCGTCAATCTCCCCAGCAGTTCCCCAGGTCAGGACAGCGCGGAAAGAACGTTATGGAGGTGGTTTGGTAGCCAGCATTTGGTCTGACTCATCACAACTTCATGGATCCCAGCGAGACCATTGCGGCGGAAAACTACTGTTATGACGAAATGCACTGTCAACTTCCGCCCGGCAGCGCTCGACAGGAAGAAGTCGTGGTACAATACTACTCTAAGACAACCTTAGGCCTACCCTAAAGCTGGTCGCGATTCTATGAAAACAATTCTAATGCCACATGTGAAGACCTGTGTACTCTTGTAAAATTATGCAACAGCACCAACTTCGTTCGTACTTGAAAACAGTTAGCAGGTCGTCAAGGTAATACATCTGAGTTAACACGAGCAATTAAAATAAACTAGTAAAAATGCAAAATGCCCTCCCAAGTCGAATAGCCACAGAAATTAGATGGGGTAGAGCTGCTTCATTCGATAGCTTACCAGTATTGCCCCCGACTTCAAATATCGCACCACCAGAAAAGCTGCAAGAACTCATCCGATCCTGCAGGGGCATTTATCGTTTCCATCTGGTCTAGAACTCCCGAGTTTTATGCAAGCGGAATAAACAAACTTATTTCTCTATGACAGAAGTGTCTCGGAAGTGGGCTGATTATTACGAGTAATAAAATTTAATTTTAGTCGGAGTGGGCGCTTTTAAAATTTGGGGTTGAAAACTGTGCGCACTGCAGTTTTAGTCGCAAGCTAGTCGTTACCTAATACACTAGGCTACTCTACCTCCCAATAGAGACGGGGGAGAAGTTACTGCCGATGAGATTCAGTGGTGAAATAGACAGCAGCTGCTACAGTTACCGTTCCTTTGCCTTACGAATTCATCAGAGGTTCTGCCCGCAGTTTCTAACCGACTCAGTTTTTCACTTCGATCTGGAATTCTATGACTCATCCCATCGCTGCTGCCTTTGCATGCTTGTAGCAGAGATTATGGCCTAATCTGGGAATATCTACAAAAATAGGTTCACTACGCATTAGCTTTCGCACGCAGATATTACCTCAAGAGCCAAGATCAAAAAAATATCACGAGAAAACACTCCATGCCGGATTTGGCCTGCGTCGTCATGGTAATGTTCCAGATCTTTTTAGCAGATGCTTAATCCCATAAAGTGTACGGCAATTGTGCAAGGAAGTTGAAAAACAACTGGAAATATTGAAATAAAAAATCAATAATAAAGTAGAAAAATTAATAGTGAAGGATGAAGCCTTGATCAATCCCTTTTTGGTGTACGCCGCGTCTTCTACTTGCAATCAGAATCGTAGCGGCTCACTGAATGCGATATGGCCTTTACAATGCGGCCAGCCAATAAACAAGTCGGTGTTTTTATCCTCCCGAACAAATCTGATCCCAATTCACGTCCCCGGGGATAAGGTTTTTTGGCCCTGGGTGGATTGATCCAGGATTTGACCTCGAGCCGCGCGTGGTAAGCGTGCCACTCGCCACTACCCACCTCCGTCCAATAATAATAATAATAATAATAATAATAATAATAATAATAATAATATTAATAATAATAATATTATAATTATTATTATTATTATTATTATTATTATTATTATTATTATTATTATTATTATTATTATTATTATTATTATTATTATTATCTGCGGTATAATTTACTATTTATAAAGTTTTTCTCTCAGAAAAAAAAACATCCGGAACCAGAGTGTCAACATTCGAAATGGCTCGGTAAACGAACAGGCTAGGAACCAACTCCCTTGCAAACGAGAAGCTTTGTGAAAGGGCGTTGATTGGAAAGCATCCAAGACGGCCTTTCCCACCAATGATGCCATCCTGAGCCACTAAAAATTGGTGAAAAGACCGCTCTAGCTGCTCCACACTGTTCGACACGCCCTCTCGTTTGCGGAGATGACGACTGCAGTTTTCAAGAATGAGGCCGAGGCTAGGTGGAAATGGGCGCTAAATTGCTATTTAAAAATTCTCTGTATCCTCTCGCCACCCCAACTGTTCCCTCTCAAATATTATAGAAGATCAATAATATAGTTAATCATTAATTATCGCTGGAGTCGTAAGCGTTATCAAATAAAATTATTTACATAATTTACACCCTAAGCACGATAGTTTCCGAGGCGCATAGTGGCAAGTAGCACGCTTTACAACGTACGCTGGCCGGGGACCAGATCCTGGAATGGCGCACCCTTAGGGAGAAGGTCACTTCGTACCACATTTGTCTGGGAGGATAAGAACAACGACATGTACACCAGCTGGCCCCCACAAGTCACTTATAGGCCACATCGGATTCAATTAGCCACTGGGATCCTGACCAGAAGTAGGTGGCGCGGCATGTGCCAAAGCCCGTATAATTAACGGCGAGGCTTTACCTTTTCAATCCTTTGAAATAGTAAAAAAAAAAAACTTTTCAAAGCAGCATCGTTACCATCAATTTTGCAGAAATAAAAAGGCTCTGAGGATTTTTCAAGATGCGATTTTGCGTATTACACCTTGCAGTGGGCGACCAAATCAGTCATAGCCCTCTTTTTACAGCGACATATGCCAGCGGCAAACGGATCACGTTCAATAATTGTGAGTTCACCGGACGCACATGTCACTTTTTCAAAGGGACAATAAGAAAACAAAGAGCAAATGCAAACCAAATGACCTCCTACTCAAAAACCTGGGCCTGACAGCTGTATCAGAAGCAGGGAGTTACAGGCGAGCTTTTCACCTGCACGAAGTAAAGTGCGCGCATGGAGGATACGAAGGAACGTATAATATAGGAAATAGATATTTCGAGACAGTGTTTTGGAATAAGTAAGCCAACTGACAATGCGAAAACGTCGAACATCGGACGGAGTTAAAGCGCTGGGTAGGACCAACTACCTAAACAGGAGGGCGCAGACGAAAGCAAAAAACTGGTGGGGCTTGAAGGGTCAAGGTCAACTAGCCAAACCGAACGATCCTTTCATATGTCCTGACTCAGTAAACCATACCAAGAGAATACAAAGGCTAAAGACAAATGTTATCACAAGAATGCTGAGTTGTGTGCAAAAGTCGTGCCCCAGACGGGAGGCAGCTAAGGACAAAGTTTTCACCGTTGATCAATTCCTTTTCGGGATGCATACGGTTCCGAGTTCATAGGGATCGAAATGATCATTGAATGGATATGGTTTACGATGACTTGAGGGGAATCTGCTACCCCGTACCATTCTCGGAAGATAGAAGGCTTTGTTGGCTTGGCGAGCCGGGATTTGACCCCCGAACTGCGCGCCTAGTAAATGTGCCACTTGCCACCTCACCACCTCTTCCTCATCAGCAAAATGATGAGGTGGAAAACAGTGGCTTACAGTTCAGCAGGGCTGCACACAATGGAGTTCGGACCAATTTGCATCTGCTACAAAGCGCTGCAAATTCGAATAAAAGTATGGTGCGCGGCTCATCTCAGAAGGGATTGTACAGCGCTGAAAGTTGTGTCATCCTGCGGTTTATCACGCTCATCCGGTCGATCTATTATTGGTTATACCAAGACATACAATAAACCCTGCCCCTGAAAGGTCCCTACAATCCTGTAATAAAATCAATTTCATGACTCATTCACAGGAATAACCAATGTTGATCGTCCTTCCTCCTTAACCTCTTCAAGTGAGTGTCAGCAAAAAAAGTGCTCCATTTCAGCTGATAATGGAAGACAGCTGGTCTCTGAACGTGAAGGGCTAAGCACAGTATACCAGTTGAAAAAGCCCAGCGGTAATAGCCCGATTTCATCGTTGTGCCGATGGGACAGTTGGCGACTGATTTTTATGCCTCTGATTCCGACGACAGCCGCACTCATAAACGCTGCCGTTGATCGCATGAAACACGCGTTCTGACGGTCTTAAACTGCAGCAGGAAGGAACATACGAATTGCACCAAGTGGACGAACCTCCGTAAACCCCCTGTCGAAAAGCGAGGGAACGCATGGTGAGAAGTAAAACTGCCCGATCAGCATAACTCTTCTCTGCCTTCCCCTCAGATATAATCCTCTGGAACGCTGAATTCCAACTTCACCAACCTCACTTTTCCCACAAGGTGAGGATACGCCATCATCTTCTGGGAAACGTTAGATTGGTGAAGTTGTCAGAATTGGTAAAACTCCTATCCTTGTCCCCGAAAAAACCCTTTCTGAAGATTCATCCTCACTCAGCAGCCTAAGTGCGACCTCCTCGCTGACTATTACTCGACCACGTCGCGCCGTGAGTCAAATTTTTTTTGGGACTCCGCACCGAATTGTATTACAAAGTCTCTGTTTGTGATTTTGGAGGGCACGAAAAACGCTTAATGAACCATGAGTCTGGTGAATTTAAACCACGGGGTCCATATAAAACCTCAAACCTACTAGCAGTAAGTCAGCTCTTTTCTGAAGGCGTAGTTAGAAGACTCAATTTGCTTAGATCGAGAGCATCCGATCTGAAAACTGAGAGCTGCAGCAGTGTCAATTCACAGGAAGTACAAATAAGAAACAGGGCGCAGATCGGCGAAGAGGATGGGGGGGGGAGGGAGATTTTGCGCTTCCTGATTTACAAGTCTCACTCTGGTGATACCTATGAATGTGAAGCTGGAGCAAGCTCGTCGTCCAAGTAAAACCTGCTAATTCTTTGAAAGAAAAGATAAAATAAAATAAAATCATAGAAATCATAAAACAGCTCTCTAGTTGGCTCGATACGTCGATGGGAAGCAGCGAAAGCGCAAAATGCCACCCCCCTTTTCTGTCGTCGAACTGCGCCGAAGCAAGTAAGCCTACAAGTAGTGAGCGGAGTTGTTGTAGGAGTAGGAGCCTAGAAGTAATGAGTCGGAATGGAGTCAAAGAGTTGGTCATTCTACATGCGTACAGAGCGCTATTGAAAAAATAATGAAGAATAAT